TTAGCTTCGTACGGATACACGTGTGAATGCATTGTAGGGCCGATGATCTAGTTGGATATGGAGGCACCCTATCGAAACCCCTGGTCGACGTCCGGATATGCTCAGGCAGGTTAAATAGATAGCTGCGCACTCCAGGTTCGGCCGACTGTTCGCCGAAGTGGGCAAAATGGTAGTCTTTAGAGTTCCGGATAAGTTTCAAGTCATGTGCCATTTTTTGTGTAATTCCCTATCCTATCATACTTAATACTACAAACCGCCAGAATAGACGCAATTTTGGAGATCCCCGGTTCCCAGGTCGAATGAATACTCTTGGAATACTCTACTGTCGCCTCAAAATGAATGGGCAATCCCTTCGGGCAACTCCGAGCTTTCTCTACTCCTCGTCGTCATCATCAGCATCTGCCATGCTGGTGTCTGCAGCGGGTTGTGTCTTGTCAGCCTCATCATCAGAGTCTGCGCCCGCTCGATTCTTCTTTGGGGCTTCATCCTCGTCCTCGTCCTCGTCGCTCTCAATGACCCTGCCCCGCCTGGACCGTGAGCTTTGCTGCCGCCTACTGATACCGCCATCCTCGTCGTCCTCCTCATCGGCGTCTCTGTTGTTGTCAACCTCCATCTTGTCATCGTCATCGCCGCCCTTTTCTTCAGCGTCAGAAAGAGGAGAGCTGGCCTTTTCGAGTGCTCTCTCTGCACGGTCCAAGGGATCCTCGTCCTCATCCTCGTCATCGCTGTCGACAATAATCTCCGCAGACTTATACTTGCTGTTCACCGTAGACTCCTTCTTTGTAAGGCGGCGCTTCTTCTTTGTTGGGCGTTCCTCGCCAGAGTCTTCGCCGTCCGTCTCGGTGGCCTTCTTCTTGCGTGATCCTCTCTTGGGACGGCTTTCGCCATCGCCCCTTGGTGCCGCCTTCTTCTTCCTCTTGACCTTGTCGCCAGTCTCGCTGTCGGTTGTCATTTCGGCCTCCTGTCGGGCCTTTTCCTCCTCGGCACGACGCTCTGCAATCTCTCTGTCCCTTGCCGCGATTTCTTCTCTCTCCCTTCTAATCTTCTCCTGTCTCTCGCGTTGCTTGTCGAGAGCCTGTTGGCGTTCCTCCTCTCGTTTCCGGAGCTCGGCCTGACGCTGCTCGAGAGCGGCTTGCAACTTTTCCTTGTTCTTCTCCTCGTACTCCTTTTGACTAGCGATGGCTCTCTCCAGCTGCTTGCGTTGAGTGTTGCGAGCCATGTTCGCACGCTGCTCGACGTCATGTTTGGGGTAAGGAGTCTGTGGATGGTTTGCAATCTCGTCGAGAGCAGAGATTGCGGATTCAAGCCCAGTTGCAGCCTCTTGAAGTTGCACCAATGTCCGCTGGTTCTCGTTGAGGGCATAAACGGTAGTTGCCATTTGGATCTGAACGAAGGCTACATTGAACTTGTAGTGAACCTGTTCCGGTGCTGCCTCAAGTGCCTGCAAATCATGTTAGAAGCTGTAGATAAGATTGCCTGGAGACGGTTGTTTACCTTTTGTGCGTACTTGAGCGCCTCGTGGTACGCGTCCAGGAGCTTCTCGGATCGGCCCTTGTTGAGCCAAGTACGACCCAGACAGGCGAGAATAACGGGATCGTTACCCTTGCCCTCTTTCGACAAAGCAACCTCGTAATTCTCAATGGCCTTGGAGTATTGCCTGAGCTCGGCATAGATGTGGCCCAGGTTGACGTAGACATGTGCATCCTTGATAGTGTCCCGAATCTTGACGAAAATACCCAAGGCCGTCTTGTAATCCTTCTTGTCCTCGACCAACGCAATGGCAATACCCTGTGCTGCGTACGCATTCTTGGGATCCAGAGAAAGGGCCTTCTCGAAAAACTCGACCGCTTTGCTGTATGTGGCGCTCCTCTTGGCCTTGTCACTGTCGCTTTCACGTCGCATCTCTCGAGCTTGGATCAGGTACAAGTTGCCCATGCCAACCAAGGCATAGCGATCATGCTTGTCGTAGTTCTGTAGTGTGTGTTTGTAATGACGGAATTCGTGGTCCTCGTTGATGTTGTGTGGGCGCTTTCTAGAGTGTACCTTGCCCATGTACCAGCCGTACAAGGCTCGAACCTCGAGACCCTGAGGGTTTTCTTGGTACAGCTTGGCAACGGCGTCAGGTCCCTCCTTGTTGGGGTTCCTACGGAGCTTGATATACGCAAGTCTGGTCCTGGCGTCGGTATAATCGTCGTGGCGTTTCAGCAAACCTTCGTATACTTCGGTGGCTTTGTCGTAAATACTTTGTGACTCGTAACTTCGACCAAGGTTGAAGCTAATCGTGGTGACCAAAGCATCCGTGTCGATCTCTTGGTCCTTTTCGCCAATCTTCATGCAAGCACCCAGAGCCGCCTCAAACATCTCGCTGGCCTGTTCGTGCTTCTCAGACTGCGAGTAAAAGCAACCGATGTTGTTGAGAAGCTGCGGGGGAAGGAACTTGCGAAGAGCTGCGCGGTTCTCGGCCTCATCTTCGATTCCAGTGGGACGTTCTTCCTCTGGAATTTGGTCGAGTTCTAGCGCCTCAACTTGAAGAAGACACTGCTGAGCTCTCTCGGGGAACTCATGCTCGTACAGACGGGCAAGATTTAACAAGACCGCAGCGTCTGGAGACATCCCCTTCTTGCTGTCCTTCCAAGCACCTCGCACACCCTCTAGAAGTGAAATCGCCTTCTTCATCTCGGCCGACTTATCCTCCTTGCCATCCGCGTCTTCGTTCGCGAAGACTTCTTCCGCGTACAAAGTGCCCAGCAAGATCATAGCTTCGTGGTTCTTGGACTGCTGAATCATCTTCTCCAACCGCAGCTTCGCCTCACCGAGATCGCCTCGGAGCACTGCTAGCTGGGCAGCACCGAACTTCGCGGGCATGTAGCCACGCTCGGCACCGCCACGCGCATCGTCAGCTCGGCGGTAGAAGTCACTGGCGCGTTCTGGGTCGCCAGTGTAATGCTCCTTTCTTGCCAAAAGATACCAGCCGTCACTTGCGATCGCATTAACGTCGGTGTACTGAATGGCCTTGTGTGCGAGCGAGTCTACAGTGCCGAGCTGTTTGCGCGACAGAAAGTAGCCGGCAAAGGTAGCGCATGTCAGCGGCATGTTCTTGTCGAGCTTGAAAGACTTCTGGGTGTACTCGGTCATTGCTTTCTTGTATAGGTGCAGGAACTCGGGACTGTTCGTAGGGATGCGGCTGCTGGCGTCAAGATGGTAGAGACCGAGAAGAATGTTTCCAACCTTGTGCTCGGGGTTGATCTCGATGCATCGCTCCCAAGCAAGTTTAGCATCGTCCTTGAAGCCCAACTGCCAGAAACAGCAGCCAATGCCTATCCTCGGATCGGGGTCGACGAAGTTTGGCATCTTCTGCAGAACCTCTTGGTAGCTTGCCAGGGACTCCGGGTACTTTCCGAGTGAAAAGAAGGTTCGCGCCTTGCCCATCACAGCGAGCATATTCTTCCCTTGCGATACTCGGATGGCGTCTTCGAAAGCCTTGAGTGCTGATCGCAACAAGTCCGCCTTTTCAGAGTCCACCTGCCCGTGACCTGTCGCCTTAGGGGTCTGCAGAGACGCTCTAAGGAGCTGCAGAACTCCGCGAGCCAGGAACAGAGGAGGGTACGCCGGGTTGATGCGCGACGCATCGTTTAGCGTAGAGGTCGCCAGTTGCAGGTAATATTCTTTCGTCTTGGCTTCGGAAGCCAGCTCGCCATCGGGCGGCACTCTCGGCGCTTCGCGACTCTTCCACAGATACATCCAGCAGAGGCATCCAATCATGCTAAGCTTTTCTCTGGGGTTGTTGTCGCGCATCGCGTTTCCACCTCGGACCAGCATCTCGATAGCATGGTCAATCTTCTTCTGCTTGGCGTAGGCCAATGCAACGGTCATCCAGTAGGTTCGAGCGGCGCGTTCGTTTTCGAAAAGGGTGCAAAGTTCGGTAGGATCATCGAAAAGCTCGAGAAGATCGATTTCGACGGCTTCGTCTTCGGCTTCGCCTTGAACCGGGACGTCGATGGCGGCTGGGATGTCAGAGAACCGCTTACTGACTGGCGCGCTGGCTGCGCCATTGGTGCCATTCATCGCGCCGTTCCTGAGGACTGACATTTTGGCGGATGGGAGGCTATGACATGCCTCGGATAAGTTTGGTGATGAAGTGGATGAAAAGTGAGGCAATCCAGAAATTCGGGGGAAGCTGGGATGAGGCTGAGAAAGATCAATCCGTCGCGTAGCACTTGCCTGCCACGCCTGCTCAGTCGGCCTTGCATATGGGTCCATAAGAGACGCTAGGGGGGGGTACTCTTGCAGTGCAGCTGTTGACCAACGTTGCTCAAGTTTTGATTGGTCAATCTGCCATGAGATGTCCGTGGTACAGGTGTCGCAGGCCAACTAAGAGCCCTGTGATATGTACTGGATACTTTAATGCTCACTTACACATTCTCATGTCTTCAACTTGCTACAAGATGAGTTATCCTACAAAATAGCCAAGCTTTCCAAGTCAAGATGATTTATTGCAATTATATACGTGAAATTCTCGGATGGTTCTGTCGATATTCGTTCTATGACACGGCCATTGTGCAAGCGAATAAGAATCATATATTGACTGGGAAAGAGGTGAGAGTTCTGGCTCATCACTATGGGCAGAAAAGAAGAGGAAAACTTCTGGTCCTACAACAAATCTTTCGCTAGAAGAACGAGCTTAAACTGCCGATACTTTTAGAATAAAGATTGAAATAGGGCTTTGGACAGTTCAATAAGCCAGCGGGGGAAGGAGCAACTGAGGTTGCCCTGGTTGACCAACAGAGGCAGGCGCGCCTTCACTGTCAACTTCCCAGCCTACCACATACAAACTTGGTTCTTTCACACCATCGTTCACTTAGGATTTTACTTTCTCGAAAAGTGAGATCGATTTATCATTGTCTCTTCTTCTCTATCATTTCAGCTGAAAGAGGTATCAAGCCAGCATTCAACCACAATTGCGACCCTTCAAACAGCTTTTATCCTCTTTACAGCTCACCATGCCGGCCATTCCCCAACCCAAAGCTGGGAGAGACAGGGATGGCGTTTTGGAGGATTCTGTTCACAGTTGGGTCACCAAATTCCTGACAGACCGACAGGTTGAGGAACCAAGCGGTCCATTGCCCCCAGTATCTCCAGTGCCGCCAGGATCTCAAGTTCAGTGTTCTGGATGGGGATGCCTCAGTGAAGCACAGCAGGCTGGGGTTCTTGTCACCATTGTTGTGGTATTCCTATCTCTCTTTCTTGGTCTGATTTTCTTTCTACGATCGAAAAAGAAGCAGGACAATTGGGTTGATGGTGACCTCATCCTTGTCCGGACCAGAAGACGACCGAGACCCAGAAGCCAAGCGGCCTCTATCAAGTCACAGCACTCGCGCTTCTTCTTCCGACATGAGGGACTGACAGGCACGCAACAGCCTCCTCAAGTATTGATCGCTCATCCGACAATTCTTCATATTTCTCCACCTCCTCCTCTGCCAGTCCCGGTTCCCCTTCCCATGCCAATGCCGATGCCATTCCGACCACCTCAACCGATCTACCCCTATCCGATGGCTTATCAGGCGAACCAGGCAAATCAGTACTATCCGATGAGGGCGCAAGCATTTGGAAACTCTCAAGAGCCCTCTGCAGTCCCGGCATTCCCGATCAATGCCCAGTACCAACAGCAACCGCAGCCTTATCCTCTAGCCCAGCAACACCCTCATTATCCATGGAAACAGGGGCCTGGCCTTCAGCAAAGTGAGCAGCGCTCTCAACAGCCCCCGCGAAGAAGGCTATCACTTGCCCGAAGGCTCTTCAGTCTGTTCAACAACCCAGTCGGTAGAGCGTCAACCATTGCCAGCTCTGACTCGGACTCAACCCGAGCTCCATCCATACGCAGCAGTCACCATTCGAGGACCTCAGCGACATCTGTTGCTACGCCGCCTTCTCCTGAAATGCGGATCAAGAGGACTGCAGCGCATGGAGCAGACGCGATGAGACCGCTTGAAGTGTCTCCCGCGGTTGCCACTGTCCAGAGTGACGACTACGTCACTCCTACAACTATACAGGATGCTTTGTCAGTCCCAGCCAACTCGGGTAGCGAAGTTCAATGTGAACCGCGGGGGAAGGCCGCCACCACCGAGTCTCCGGTCAAGAAACAAGTTCAGGCTGAGCGTGATAATACAAAGACATGTCCGACTTCCATACCGATCTGCGAAGACACCGAAACTGCTGGAACTTATCCTAGTCGCCCTGTCACCAAGCCCCTTAAGAGGTATGATCTCTCAACTACAGTCATTAATGGAGAGCTGACGAGACACAGTGCCCTAAAGAATGGAAATAAATCAGCTGCAGGAGCCAGATTATGCAATACGAAGAACGATCAGAAGCCCTCGGCCAAAGAAGATAGGTAAGATACATCTCAGCCTGAGCTCTCGATATCTACTGACCTGGCCAGCAATCATGTGGACTTCGCGTCTAGTCGCACCGTCACTTCGCCAATGGCCGCGGAAGCCAGCTCGAGCAAGGGCAAAGAGTAAAGCACTTCTTCATCTTTGATTAGAACCGTGAGCTGATACGATTGATAGAAAGCGGCAGCAGGGGAAATCCGTTGATAGACATAGCCCCAAGGAGAACGCAGTCCGCGAAGTTAGTCGAGATCATCCAGACGTCTTAGGTACAGCCGTACATTCTGCCGAGGCGCTGAAGAAGCCAGTACCGGATCCTCAAAGCAGCCCGGTCAAAACAACAGAGAAGACACATGACCAGAGCTCGTGTCCCAACCAGCACTTACGGAGATTATCGAGTAGAACTGAAGAGCTTCGGTGAGCCACATGAAATGAATCGTTAAAGGAATGACAAGTGGATGCTGACTGATATTGAGATTCGACGCGTCTTGTTCTGATGTCACGGAGACCAGTGACTTGCTAAGCGACGACTCGCCGCCTCCGTCTCCTCCGAGACCAATCCACCAGGGCGGCGGTAAGTATGCTCCTGAGCAGCTGCGAAGGAAGCCATCAAGAAGAGCGTACTAGGTTACGGTGAAAGACTTATGACTGTGTTTTTGACACGAACGGGCGGCGAAAAAGAACGGTTGATGCACGAAAATGGGGTTCCCTGGAACGACTATGGAACAAGGTTCGGACCTTACGAAGTATCGTGCACTTCAGACAGCGACCTGGTTTCTGGCTACGGGCTGGCGGTTTTGGTCCCGACAAGATAGGTGGAATAGCATGTGTACCTGGCCACTTGCCTCACCAAAGCTTGTTTAGAACCGATTTAGATAGGTATTGGGGTTAGGAATAAGGGTTCAGATGTGCTGCAAGGATGTAGAGCAATGCAGACAGACGGCTCGTCCATGCCCAATGGAATTCAGAGATTTGTGCAGCTGTGGTTCATAAGATATGCCGAGATGTGCATGAGTTGGAAAGCACAGAGAAGCCCAGCGGGATGTTTACTGCGGTAAAGCAGGGGTAACTTGGTAAGACAGGTATCTGTGTCACTTTGGCCCGTGCGCGATGAAGGTGAGATACCTTGTCCGGGTGCGTATGACAAAAGCAGCAAGCAGCAGAAGCAGGGCCCCCAGGGCCCCAGGGGAGGTGGCTTCGTCATTGCCTGCTACTCCGGCCGGAAAGGCACTTGCTGCACCCTGGAGCTCACCTTAGTCCAACCTCGCGCAGCCCCGATCACCTCTCCCCACGCTGCCGCCCGACAAGTCTGCTTGTCCGTATCATAACTCTCTTTCAACCGACCTTTATTCCGTCAGCCTCAAGCCTTTCACTTTTTTCTGGGACAGCTTTCAACATTAACCGGACGTTGCGATCATCAACCGCATGCTTGTCGCATGCCGACAGACAAGTGCCTTCCATCATTCCCACCCCTCTTCCCCCCCGCAGCTCCCGGCTCAGCTGCGCATCCCCGATTGCGCATCCCGTTTGAGACTGCAAACCCTTCTGGACGATTGAATATCGACCTATAGCTTTGTTTGCTATTCCTTCCAATCCGACACCGAAACGATGTGGAACGATGAGGATAATAATCCCTATGCCGAGGGCTTTGACCGGAGAGACAGCCTGACTTCCTCTTCTGCCAACCCAGCCTCTCCTACTACCCGTGAGTGTATGTCGCGATTCTACCCCAGCTCAATCCTCGTCGTTTTGAAGATTTCAGAAAATGATGGAAACCATAGATCTGGATGATTCTTCAGACAGTACTGATGCCGACTGGGAGACTCTAGACCAGCGATTCGACATCCCTCAGACCCCGTCGACCACAAGCGATGAGGCTCCTCAGAATCGCTCCCATACCCTCCCAGACAGCGAAGCTGAGAGCAGCGACAATGAGCCGATTGCTAGAGACAGAGGCGATCTTGTCCCGCGCCCCAAGCCCGGCGGCTACGAAAGCCGCGTCGAGCAGATCCTCTGGGAGAATCCGAGCATGACTATTCTCATTACTGATGCAGGAAAGAGCGCGGAGAGCGGTGGAAAATACATTGTCTACACCATCCGGACAGGCGTATGTGGCTGTGCGATGGATCGCTCTCTCGATAGTTGGGGTACTGACTGTTCCATAGAACCTCGAAGTGCGCCGACGATACTCGGAATTCGCGTCTTTGCGTGAGGCATTGACCCGGCTGCATCCTACCCTGATTATACCCCCAATCCCCGAGAAGCATACCATGGCAGACTACGCTGCGAACCCTACGAGCGCAAAGCAAGATCAGCAGATTATCGACCTGCGCAAGCGCATGCTTGCCGTGTTCCTGAATCGATGCCGCCGCATGGAGGAGATCCGAACAGACGGTGTTTGGTGGAGATTCTTGGACCCCAATGCTAGCTGGGTAAGTTGAAAAGATCTTCTCCACAGTGATCCGGTAGCTGATCTATCGCAGAGTGAGGTCCTTCACTCTCATCCAGTCGCCTCGGTGCCCAAGTCAGTCCTGAAGGCGCCACCTTTGGATCCTGCGAACCCTACACCTGCTCACAACTTCCTTCCCGTACCATCAGCTTCCGCTAAGCTTAAGACGACGGGCGGCCCTGGTGTCGATCCCGGCGCCATCGCTGGAACTGGGTCCCATGTCTTTGGCCGATTCCCTCCCGACAGCCACACCCTGAGCGAGCAAGAACTTGACCCTTACTTCATCACATATGAGGCATCGATCAAGGAACTGGAGCAACTGTTGTCGGGGTCCATGGAGAAGGTCAACCGTCGGACCCTGAGCCACCTGTCTGCACTGGCCGCCGATCTTTGCGAACTGGGCTCCAAGTTTAATGCGTTCGCGCTATCAGAACAGGCACCCTCTTTGGGCCCTGCCCTCGAGAGAGTGGGACAGGCGGCCGACTCCTCCTACATCGCTACTGAGGAGCTTTCTGGATCTCTCGGTGCCAGTTTCGCAGAGCCTATGCGAGAGAATGCGCAGTTCGCAGGTGTTGTTCGCAGCGTGCTGAAGTACAGGGTGCTCAAGCGGGTACAGCAAGAGCAGACTAGCGACGAACTCAGCAAGAAGATTGCGCTGCTGGACCAACTAGAGCGCAGCGAGCAAGAGGCCAAGCGCATTGAGCAATATCTCAGCAGCAGCCAGCAAATTGCGCCAGCGCCGAAGCGGTCTACAAGCCTTAGAGAGGCTAACACATCACACCATCAGCGCGAGGGCAGTGCCGAAGACACAGCTTCCATCGACTCCGACTTCCCTCCTACCCATGGCGAGCCGGTCCCGACCGCGACCCAGGGTGTCCCACAGAGAAGCAACTCAACTCCAGGCCATAAGAAGGCCGCGAGCAGCAACTCAATCACGAACAAGATTTTCGGACCGATTCGTCACGCTATTCAAGGTGTAGCTGACGTCGACCCCGAGAGAACTCGTCGTGACATGATTGGAAAGACAAGGGAGAGCATCGAGCAGCTTGAGCAAGCCAAAGTGGTCTCTGAGCATGATGTGAAGGAGGCTAGCGCAAGCATTTTGAAGGACTTGAAGAGATTCCAAGGAGAGAAGGAAGAGGACCTTCGTCGTTACATGGTAAGTTGATTGATCAGTACAGTACTAGGAGCGATTCCGTGCTGACCCGATTTATCACAGCTGGCTTATGCCAAGAGCCAAATTGAGTGGGCCAAGAAGAACAAGGAGACCTGGGAGGATGCCAAAGCTGAGGTCGCCAAGATTGACGAAAGTTGAGGGTATGTTTGGTTCATTAGGGAGAAAGGGAAAACGCGCAATGATATCAAAACAGACAAGGCTCAGAGGCCTCGAGCTGTTTCCAATAATTTGATGAGGCGTTGAGTCTATCGGGTGGCTGACGTGGGACAAGCAAGACTCATTTGGCGTTTACGAGGGATTCGACATTCGTAAAAGTCATGGGATAGTGAAAGGCAATTAATCAACTCAGTTCAAAGTACTATACTCGAAATACGTCACGTTTTCTAGTGTTTGGCCTCGCTTGGGGATCATTGGCCTCGTTGGTCACAGAGTTGGCCTCAATGAGCGGCTGGATCTCTCTCGCAAGCCTTGTTGATGAGGCTGTAAGAGGTATCTGTTTTAGGCAGAGCCTTCGAATCCTGTGCAGAGCTCATTTATCCAGGATGTGAATTCTGAGAGACCACGGAGACGGTGTTGATGCACGGGCGGTCTTATCTCTGTGCCTTATCGATAAGAGGCCGATAAAGCTCCGAGACTTTGGTGTCGCGAGGCTACCTAGACCAACGGAGGACCGAAACCGACTTGTACTTCCTTCTCTCCCCCTTTTGCGCAACACCAGAAAAAAAGGTCCATCCGCAACCATGGATGGCGTACAGGGTCCGCCTCCCGAGGGCCCGATTGCCTCGATCGCAGAACCGGGCATCAAGGCCGACGGTCAACTGCTGTTCGACTTGCGCCGCGAGGTCGCCAATCTCTTGCATCGCAACCAGACCAGCTTCCCCGGCGCGCAGCCCGTCAGCTTCGCGCGGAAACACGTCGATGAGTTACGGAATAGAGAGTGAGTGCTCCTTGTCGCGCCGTTCATACAGGCTCCAGCCTCTGCACACGTTTTTTCGGCGAATGCCTTTGGCTACCGGAACCATGATAAACGGAGGCTGGGAGGAATTAGTGATTCGCAACTCTTTTCGCTGACAACCAACGCGCTCGCGAGCGCGACAACAGCTACTATGTTTGCGAAAAGTCAGACGGCATCCGGTACCTGCTATACCTCACGGAAGACGAGGGCCGGGAGATCCACTACCTAATCGACCGGAAAAACGACTACTGGTTCATCAAGAACAGCAGCTTCCACTTCCCGCGCAAGGACGACCTGACCAAATTCCACACGCGCACGCTCATCGACGGCGAGCTGGTCATGGACGACACGGGAAAGGGCACAAAGGAGCCGCGGTTCCTCGTCTTTGACTGCCTCGTGCTGGACGGACAGGACCTGATGTCGCGGACGCTCGACAAGCGGCTCGCCTACTTCAACGAGAACATTTACAAGCCCTACCGGGACTTGTTCAAGCAGTACCCGGAGGAGCGGGATTTCCAGCCGTTCCTGGTGGAGATGAAGGCCATGCAGCTGAGCTACGGCATCGAGATGATGTTTCGCGAGATCTTGCCCAAGCTGAGGCACGGCAACGACGGGCTCATCTTCACGTGCGTCAGCAGCGAGTACAAGCACGGCACCGACCCGCACATCTTGAAGTGGAAGCCGCCGGAAGAGAACACGGTCGACTGCCGGCTGCGGATGACGTTCCCTACGGTGCAGCCGGGGGAAGGGGACGAGGAGGCCGAGGGCCCCTTTGTGGACTACGAGGCCGTGCCGCGGGCGGAGCTGTGGAGTTTTATGGGGGACGGGCGGTATCAGTTCTTTGACGAGGTGCATATTACCGAGGAGGAGTGGGAGGTGTTGAAGGGACTCGGGGACCCGCTCAACGACCGCATCGTGGAGTGTCACAAGGACGACCTGGGCCGGTGGCGGATTATCCGGTTTCGCGACGACAAGTCGGAGGCGAATCACATTTCTACCATCAAGAGCGTCATGGAGAGTATCGAGGACCGGGTTACGGAGAAGGATCTTGCGGAGGCGGCTAAGGGGATCAAGGATAATTGGAAGACGCGGAATGCCAAGCGGTAGTCTTTTTATCGGGTTTTTTTCCCCTACGCAAAGAGGAAGAAGGGATGAGTGAAGAAGAAGCAGATGAGAGATATGGCCAAATTCCAGGGGTGGCGCGGTACGGGGGGGTTGAGGAACCATGGCGTGGATGATGTGTGAGTACTGTACGTGTGCGGGTCAGGATTGACGAAGGCGTCTTGGTGTTGTGTTTTATGCAAAAAAAAAAAGCCTCCCCAAGCAAGAAACAGAGAATACGGAGGGGAGGTCAAAAGAGACGAGGGCGGAGGTTGAGATATTGCCTCCTTTCACGCAACCCTCATCAATTCTCTACTCTGTCGATGTCCGGCTAGGATGTGAGCATGAACTATCTTGGCGTTTTCTAGCTTATGGGATAAGCGAGGAGGGCATACCGGTTACCCGGGGGCATGAGAGTGTATCGAGTACCTTTGAAATAAAAAGAGTAATACATATTGCTAGAAGGGACTCCTTTTTCTTGAAGCGACGCCAACTGGCCAACCCCCATGACCTCTTGTAGGGGAAAAGGGATACTGATTGCACTCTTTCCTAAACATGACCAAGTTGTATGTGGTGAAATACTTGTTCCACAATCACGAGCCAAAAAGCCCAACAAGGGATGACATGGAAGGTTCCGCACCCCATTGCTCGCTGCCATTCGCTTTTCCTTGATCCAGATGGACGTCTGATTCAGATCTACCAAGGTCTGGGTGATTCCTCCTCGCTGGGTTGGTCTCACTACCACCAGAAAATGTAGATATGGAAATGTCGCGGCAGGTGCTGACATGCTCCCGTCGCCATCCCTGACCAAGGTAATGAAAATGGATGGGTTAAACCGGTGCTCGGCGCCTTACCTTAGGTAAGAGCTCCAGCTCTCCCCAACAAACCATCAAGCTCAGGAAACAAGTGTGCGCCGCCCCCCGCACCAGGTAGTAGGTAGTGTCTGAGCAGGCACGGACACTGGGACTGCCTTCCGTAACCTCGAAGACGTCACGAAAGAAAGCCAAAAGCTTCTCGTTTCTCAGTCTTACATCAGACCACGCCGTGAGAAATCGATTGTTTGGGCGGCCAAGGGAGGGATGGAATGGCTCAAGGTAGTGCCTATCGAGAGAAGTCCGAAGCTACAACCTTGAAACCATTAATCTAGAGACAAGCTCCCCTCCTACCGTCGACCTCAGTTTTTGCTTCAATCCTCAATTTCCTTTTCTTCCTCTCTTCCAGATTTGTCCTGTGGCTCACGATAAATCCAATTGGCGCCTCTGATACAATACGACCACCTCTGCACCGCAATTTAATAATCTACGTAACGTCACGCTTGGAATAATAAGTCGGCCCACGGTTCGGTGCAACAATTGCAGCATCGCCGCCCACCATGATCCTCGGACCGGTATCACTGCTCGACTGTCTGGTCTTTGTCATCTTCCTGACGCCGCAGCTCCTCATCAATGTCGGTTTCTTCCCAACGGTAGTGGTCACTCTGAAGATGCTGCCTTTTCTCGTGTTTCAACTGCCGACGTCCCTGTTCCACGAGCGATATCTACTCAGCCACGATGAGCAGTCGCCTTTTGTGCAGCGCGCGAGTTTCTTCGAAGATTTAGTCATACGCTGCGTGCGTTACGCCTTTGCAAACTTGCCAACCAATATTGGACGTGTCTTCTTTTCAAAGTACATATCTCTGCCGTTTCTGCGGTTTCGAATGCTGCGGCATGGCTATCTCAGGCCACCTGCGACCTGGAGTGAGCACAAGGAAAAGGTGAGTGTAACCTACATCTCAGTGCACAATGGCCGGTGGCTGACTTGAATAATAGGGCCAACACGGCTTCGAAGGGGTTTGGATCCAAAAGGATGCGTCACAACCGCCCGACATTGTGGTATACTACGCCCACGGAGGCGGTTTCGCCATGGGCTCCGCGTACTTTTACCTCGAGTTTCTTCTGTCGTGGCACTCGTTACTCGTCCAAGCCGGCTACCGGAACCCTGCCATATTCTCTCTCGAGTACACCCTCGTGCCCGATAAAATGTACCCAAGGCAAATGTACGAGACTTTGAGGGGCTATAAGCATGTCCTGAAAAAAGTTGGAGACCCTCGGAGGGTGGTCGTTGCAGGAGACTCAGCGGGAGCAACCCTGATATTGACGCTGTTGCTGGAGCTGGGTCACATGAACGAGGCCCGGGCATTCAAGGAAAAGAGTGACGATTCCACCGCATCTGAAGGTCGAAGTCAGGAGCAGTTGCGTCAAGCCTCAGAGTCCCCGCTTCCAGGGCTTTGCGTCTTGATTTCGCCGTGGGCCAAGCTCATCTCCAACAAGCATGAAAATACGGCCAGCGACTTTCTGGATCGCGACACGCTATGGAAATACGCGGTGCAGTATGCTGGGGCAGCGCATGTCTACGACAAGACCGCGTCGCCTGGGCAGTGCGCCGATCCTCGGGTGTGGGCGGAAGCTAGTCCACTTTGTGGCTTCTTCGTCACGTACGGATCAGAAGAGGTGTTCGCACCCGACATCAAGGACCTGATTAACGTCTTGGTCAAAAGTACCGAGGTCGACAGTCGTAGCGAGGATGGCGGGATACACGCCTGGCCCGTTGTTTCGTTATTCCTGTCAAGCACCGAAGACAAGAGACTCAAGGGTCTGCGGACACTCACGTCAGCCATCAGAAAACACATCCAGTAGAAAGCCTATTAAAGGCAGATTGCTGTTTTTAGAAAAAAAAAAAAAGTCTGATTAGATCAAGTAAAAACTGTCATAGACCGAGGCACGCCAACCTCGAAACCTGAGTTGGGATAACTCGGTTTCTACAGTTGTGGCCTCTTGGGGTGGTCTCCAGCTGTTTCTCTTCGTTATCTTCATCCCTGGCCACCAATAGGATATGGTGTAAATAATAGAATTTAGTGGTTTGATTACCTGCATGATTGAGTTGCGTTCCTGCATACCGGGCCGTCCGCCGACAGGAAATTACGACGGTGGTAGGGTGATATCTGTTCAGAAAAACGTTGACAAACATTTCGCGAAGACGCGTTGAAGGATGCAGATAAGTTCTTCGTAGGTGGACCCACTGCAAAGTCGCTTCGGCGGGAAGGGCGATTGGCGACCTAGACGGGGGGGGGGGGGGGCATTCACTCGAGGTGCCGTCGCAAAGCTCAGACGGGCAGGGAGCTGTGGTGGGTCTCGGATGAAGTCATGTGTGGTTCAAACACTGACGAGTCGAGGAGCGCGACGGCTTTGCGACAGAAAACATCTTTTTCGGACGACGGGGTTCCTTGATGACGGCGCGCTGCAGAAAGAGCTCGTCTGCCTAAGGAGCAGGGAGGGTGCCAGCTCCAGGCAGCATTGAGGGCAGATGGCGGCGGGGTTCGACGATGTTGGGTGTCTCATGAAGACAAAGCAAGCTCGTACGTAGGTCAGGGCCACGAGGTATAAAGGCATATCGAGAATGAAGAGTAACGAGACAAGACTTTCTCGAAGTCCAAGGTTGCGCAAATGCCAGGTCTAGAATCTGAAAACAGGGGCCGAAACGACATGATGGGAGCTGGAGCCGAGACGGTAAAAGAGATCAGCCAGCCTGCCGTGGCCTACCTTGCTTCGGTTGAGCCATCCTTTTCAGCCTGCCTCACGTTACTTCGCGCCTCGAGATGCAGCTACGTCTGCGAGGTTGCGACATGCGGCGGTAAGCTGGGACGAAGGGGGAGACATCGACCGTGTGGCGAAATTAGTGATGACGCCGATGAGGTGCGAGTATTTTTGGGCGCGAACAGGATGACTCAAGAGATCCCGGTAGGTTGGGAGAGGAAGAAGAAGAAGGAGAAAGAGAAAAGAAGCGTTGTTCAAGAAATGGAACTGGAGAAGGACGTGCCGACGTGGGCGCAATGTGAACATTCGGGACGCCTTGAAGATACCTTACCTTCCGTGCTCCCTGATGGAAGGAAGGTGGATGGCCAGGCAGGTACCAACAGAGCTTAATTAGCACAGAAAGGTACAGAGGCCGTCAAGCAGGGGACTAGCGGCTGTGCTCATGCAGGATTTGGGAAGGCGTGGCCACAGCTCGGGCATCCTGACCCAATCAGCATAGCAGCGTGACCCCTGCCTAGGCGTGTTTTTTGGGGGGAAAGCAGAGGGCAGCAAGAAAGGGGAGTTGGGAAGGAGCTCTGACCCGCGACGCGCATATAAACGGTGGACATTCCCACCGTGATCCATCGCTAGGAGTGAAGGAACCCGCACACCGCGAAAAGAAGGAGCCCACCCAGCCGCTGGCTGCACCTGCCACCGACCGCACCGCACCCGCACCTACCGCACCACCGCACCGCATCGCCGTCCGCCCCTCCGCAGGTTCTCGACCCGTCGCATCGTCCCACGGCCGTCGCTCTTTCCCTCCCATTCAGTGTCCTTCCTATCCAATCATTCCCATTCGTTCCAGCCCATCTACCACCTCAATTTCCAGGGCAGGTTGCGAGAAGGTGCACACTTGGTGTGCTTGCGCCCAGATTGTGCCTCCCTGTACTTTTGTGTGTCTGCGCCTACCTTACCTACTTGACGCCTGGCCTTGCCTCGTCTGCCTGTCAGACCGACTGCATCCTTCCCGATGGACGCATGTCAACTTTGAGGCTGTATTGACTAAACCTTGACCCCTGGATCTTGGAAAAAGATCAACGCCAACAAATCCTCCTCCTTCTCCTACTCCGTACATAACTTCACTTTACAATCCCGTTCAAACGCAACATCCCCTTTCCCCCATACAGAACACCTCCCACCACTATATCAGAGCATCAGGCCGCTTCCGAAAGTACCGCTGCTGCCCCGCACAGGAACGCCTGACGCCGTCGCACGCCCCAGGACTGAACCCCGAAAGCCCCAAGCTTACTGAACTCCCTTCACCCCTGGCTCGCTAGACACACCGAAACCTTATTGAGTGTCACTCCAAGTCTCCAGGTCTGACTCAGCAAAAACGCCATTTACACACCTTGGATCAGTAGATCACCTATCTGGCATATCAACATCTCGGACAAGCTTGTGTCACAGCCACGCTCCCGACGTCAGTCGGTATTTATCACCCCCTCAGGCTACACTGAGTCTCTCACTCTCACGCGGTCTGGCATACGTAGACTGCATCCGAAGCAATACCAGGATTGGCCAGTTGCGACGTTGGGTCTCGACATCCACGCAGACTCTCTGAGAGCCCAGTGAGCCTGGATCTTCTCTGTACTGCAAGTGGCCGGTTCATTTTGCTGGACCTGGGACGCAGTTTTTAACCTCGATTTGCAAGTTTGCAAAGCAGTTATCCGGACAGTCCTGCTCAACATCCTGCCATCCACCGTTTAGGTCCGGTACACGGTTGCAAACAGGCTAGGGTACTGAGGATACTACGAATCCCTCATGTTGTAGGCCGTATATTGGCTTTGATCTCATCTCTTCGTCATTTGCTCTTGTATCGCAGCGCTGCCCAACACGTTGGCCGAGGCTGCCTTACACACGCAAAACACCCACACAAACTTCACAAGGCGATTGCGCTCTGTCTCGCCTTGTTTTCAATATTCAAGCCGAGCTCCGCAGCAATATTCTGCCTCGATTTACTGTCACCCTCAACGCGACTTGGATTGGCCGTACGTCTGTCGGACCTTTACACCTTTGACTCCCAAGGATATATGACGGTAGAACAGACCGTCATTCCTTTCACCGCACGTAGCAGCCCACGCCTGAATCAGGACTTATACGCCGTACTTTCCTGGACATATACCTACTTAACGACTGAATACGGAACACATCCATCATTAGACGCAATCACACAACCATTGCAAGATTATTCCTGCTAAAGCAAACGGTGTCGCAACCGCGGACAAGATAGAGGTGGGGGTGTAGGCTGGCTTTTGTACTCAAAAATCAGTCCCTGCCCTTCGCTTAATCATCCAGTGTCCCACGCCAGCCAAACTTGGATTGGAACCTTGGCCAATTTTTTTCGGGGCACCAGCCAAGGCCCCCTGTCGTTTGGCCTCCACTTCCAAATTGAAAAAAAAAAAGCGGCCATCAATTTTTCCAGCAGGGCCGGAGGTAGAGGGGGAAAAAAGTAATAAAAATGGCGGACGACACGACCTACGCACCAAAGTCGCCGGACCTCTCTTCTTTTTTCTCGGCAGCACCCGCCCCGCCTACACCTCCACTGCACACTCACAGTCTGCAGCACTACCAGCAACAACTGAGCAAGCTCCAAACCTCTCCGTCTCCGTCTGCGTCTGCTGCACCACCGCCCGTATATGAATACTCCTCCCCCTCAGCACGCATTCACCACCCAAGCCAGTCATCTTCTACTCCTGTTCACATCAAACAAGAGCAGCCCCACTTCCCATCACCAGCGGCAATCAAAACGGAATTCTCTTCCTATCAGCCACCGCTACAACCCCACCACCACCAAGGTCAGCACCAGCACCAGTACCAACCGCTTCAGCAACAACAGCAGCAGGAGCAGCACCAACACCACCAACATTACCTATCTCCTCAATACCACCACCAGTCACCGCCACACAACCACCCATCTCCGCAATATCCCCCACCACATATGCAAAGCGCCTATGGGATACAGCCCGTTCTCAACTACCAGGAACAGCAAGCTCATCAGCCCAAAACACCTCAAAGCCAAGGATTTCTAGACCAAAAAACCTTTGGCGGAGCACCCCAATTACACGATATCCCCTACAACCCAGATACACAACATCTACCACAAACACCAGCTTCAGCAACTATGCCTCCCAGAAAGAACACAAAGCAGGCTGACTCGCCACCTCCAATTGACCCTTCACCCGTTCGGACAAAGTTCCCCACAGCCAGGATAAAGCGTATCATGCAGGCTGATGAGGAGGTTGGCAAGGTCGCCCAGCAGACTCCCATTGCTGTTGGCAAGGCTCTCGAGATGTTCATGATTGCTGTTGTCAGCCGAAGTGCCGAAATCGCGCGGGAGAAGAACTCCAAGCGTGTCACGGCTCAGATGCTCAAGCAGGTCATCGAGACAGATGGCCAGTACGACTTCTTGGCCGACATTGCTGCAAAGGTTGGCGACGAAGAGAAGAGAGGTGGCCGCTCCAAGGCTGAGTCGTCAAGCGACGAGGAAATGGAAGTTGAGACGAAGAAGAAGGGCAAGGGCGGCCGTAAGAAGAAGGCCGCTGCATGAGTTTTCTCATGTTCAGCTTGGGTCTTGAGGCGAGGGAAGAGAAGGGAAAGGAAATTTCCCATGATGAGAAATATGAAAAGGATTATGAGGATTGGCGTTGGACTGGCTAGCATCTACATTGGCGTTGGGTGACACGGCGATACACTCGTCGAGCCGCACCTGGGGGGAAATATTACATGGTTTACCTTATGGAACGGAGGAACAAGCGCTGCTTCCTCGACTTGCATGCCATGGACGGCTTGTCTTTCTGTATGCGCATCGAGCCTGTCTTGGACAAGTCTTCTTACGATTTTAGAATGGAAGCATTTTATCGTTTGCACACCTTTCCTCTCATAATGTGCACGGGATGATGATAAGCCGCGCCTTGAAGCGTCTGGCTGTGGTAGGTACCTTCACCAGGGGACGTCTCATATGGAACTCACTTTCCGCTCACTCAAAGACACCCTGCTCATATGAGGTGGCTGTATTTTATTCGTACCTTATTGTGTGGTACACTTGGGCTTGACATTGTTGCCAGAGCATGCTCCATTCATCGAGTGACATCTCCATTTTGCCCTCTCTGTCAATGAGACTCTCGCCTCATAGGTTCAACATGAGAATGAAATCTCACCACTGGAAACTCAGAAAGGGAACTCAAGAATCGAATGCAAATAACGTCACATATGCAGATAAAACGATGATGCCCCGCAGACAGGGGTTTTGGCCGTCGCCCCCATTCGTCCTAGCGCGCGACCTTGATCCTCTCGGGCCCGGCACTCTCAAGGTGCGGCTGGCCCCCTCCTCAGAGGCTCCCGCTCTCAGCGGCACCATGAGCCAAGGTTCATGCTCGCTGAGGTAACCGGCGACGTAGTCTAATTTGAGGCCAGAATTTTTAGGCACTAGTACTGGGAAACGGCGGGTCGTGCATGGGGCATTCCTCCCACCTTCCAAGTCATGCCCTCAGATTAGTGGACAAATCGACATCCAATTCACGGCGGAGAGGGAGCTACCTATCTGCATCGAGTAACCGGCCACCGTGTGTACCTGGGCGTCTTGTCTCCCATCCTCTTGCGTGCCCTGCTGCGACTGCTCGAACAATTCTCCCAAGTCTTCTGAGCTTCCCGCCATGCGAAACCATCCCTCGACCTGCGAATCCCGTTCATGTCCATGATCAAATGAGGCACCGAGCCTCGCTGCACTTGCATCCTTCATTCCGCTCCGTGGCGTAACCAATGTCGTGGGACCTGCTCAAGCGATTCCTTGAGTCCGACGTCTTCAACTCGAACCCCTTTCTCTCGGTCTCTTACCTTTCGTGAGCGACCCTCCCCTTGCGCCCACCCGTCGCCGTCATGCGCTATGCTCTCAATTGGCGCTTGTTTCGGTAATTGGCAATTGGAACGACCTCTCTGCTAACCCCTGATCTTTCCTTCCTCTAGTCGTTACGCCGACCATGTGGGCATTCACTATGTCCTGTGCAATAAGCTGCGACAATTCCCCTACGAGGATATCGAGTTCTTCCTGCCGCAGCTATGCCACCTAATAATCAGCGTCGACAACGAGTCCATGGCCTTGGAGGAGTTCCTCCTGGACTTGTGCCAAGAGTCCGTCACCGCTGCACTTCTGGTTTGTTTCGTCTCCCCGCTGTTGCGCTGCCGTATTCGCTCACAATCTCCTAGACCTTCTGGTTATTCCAGACGTACCTACACGATCTATCGTCCAATCCGTCGTCCAAGGCCTTTCAAACATGCCGGAGGGTATACAACAAGGTGCAGCATATTGTGTTCGGCCTGCCAGATGCTGCGAGGCACGATAAGATCAAGGAGAACATCTTACCCGTCACGGTCCTGGCGAGCTTCGTCTTGGCCAGTGTCGCGGTGCCACTAGTCCCACAGTGGGCGGGACCACTTGCCGTGGCACAGGCTAGGAAGCCTCAGCCGTCCGACGACCTTATATCCGATTCTCGAGATAGCAACCCCAAGACAGCGCAGGTGACGCGAGCCCACACGGTGACGGCTGGGAGCACGAGGTCTAGGCGTACGAAAGATGGCGGGCGGATGGTCAGCGCGCCGGATCTGGTATCCCCAGGCGTCGCGTCGTCCAACTTGCAGCATCGGTCGACGGATCCATCTCCGTCTCGGCCAGGTTCCTCTGGCTCCAAGACCCCCATCGAAGTCAAGCGTCTTCCGCCTCATCTCAACATGAAGAACGATGACGCCCGTCTCAGCTCCTCTTCGCTACCTCTCCCTGAGCTACGTTCCCCGAGGCTGGCCATAACGAGACCGGCAACACCAGTATCGGCAGGATTTCCCCCACGCCCTAACGATGCTCTGAACAGGAGACATTCCCTTCACTTCAAGAGCGGTGCCGCCGGTTCTGACTTGACAACGCTGCAAAAGACAAGATTACTGCGCCAACACTACTTTAGATGTGAGACGCAATTCCTGACCGCGCTAGAAGGCATCTCCAACAGGCTTGTAATCGTGCCAAAACCTGCTCGGCTGAGTGCTCTCCGCGCGGAGCTGGCCCTCATAGCGCAAGACCTGCCGGCGGAAGTGGACGTTCCGGTTATTTGCCCACCTACCCTGGTGGATGGATCCCCAGCAAAAAGTCGGCACCATCGAATTGTTCGTCTGAATCCAGGAGAGTCGACAGTGCTGAACAGTGCAGAGAAGGTGCCATATCTTCTCATGGTTGAGGTATTGAGAGATGACTTCACATTCGATCCGGATACGCCAGATAACAAGAGGCTCTTGGCAACTCTCTTATCCGATCCCGGCCATACCCGACGTATTTTTGACCTTTCCGATTCACCTCGCATACCTATAGCGCCCAAGACACCAGAGACAATAGTTGACAGCGTGTTTGAGCCGGTTTCTGGCGACTTGGGAAGCTCTCCCCTGATCAAGCCGTATGATGATGACCCTTTCCAGAAACCCCAGGGGAAACAGGTTACGCCGTCGCAAGCCCAACGTCTTCCGAGCGCTGGCACATCTGCAATGTCGACTGTAATGTCAGAAATCACAACTCCGCGGAGCTCCAGAACATCAACCTCGAGATCGAGCAGTCCAACAGGCCCACTCCGCAAGATGACACTCTCTTCGCGGCCTAATGCTGTGGTTGATCAACCAGATTTCTCCGCGCTCGCTACCCACATGCGCACGGCTTCACAGATGTTGGCTCAGCTCGAAGCTACAAGCGGCAAGCGACCACGACATGAAGTACAGGCAATCCGAGCCAAGATTATTGCGAGCATGCAAAGCTTGGAAGAGCAGAGTTTCGATATGGACGAGCAGGGCCCGACCTTTGACACCATCATTGCCAAAGCCTCTACCGCTCAAGCGAACTCTGTTGTTGCAGCTACCGAGGCCCAGGCCTCTGAAGCCGAGAGCGAATCTCCCGTCGAACCGGGGCCCAATGCTGGTGCAGGATTGGCGAGAATGGAAAACGATATCAAAACTGGTGGTATTCAGAGTAAGGGTGACCGCGACGATCCTAGCGCGGCTGTCTTCGGTGAGGCATGGCAAGCTAAGAAAGAGCGCATCCGCAAGACTTCGCCGTATGGATGGATGAAGAACTGGGATTTGGTCAGTGTCATTGTCAAGACCGGAGCCGACTTGCGTCAGGAAGCTTTTGCTTGCCAGCTCATTGACGTCTGCCACAAGATTTGGGTTGATGCGAAGGTCAACGTCTGGGTTAAGCTTATGCGGATTCTCGTTACTGGCGAGTCCTCGGGTCTGATTGAGACCATCACCAATGGCGTGTCGCTGCATTCCATCAAGAGAAGTCTGACATTGTCAATGGAGACAAGTCCCGGTCAGAAACGCCGATTTGCTACGCTGAGAGATCACTTTGTGAAAGCGTTCGGTGCTCCGGATAGCGAGCCTTTCAAAGCGGGTGTGGACGCCTTCAAACGCTCACTGGCCGCTTATAGCATGATTTCATACATCCTGCAGCTGAAGGATAGACATAACGGCAACGTCCTGATCGACAGCGAAGGTCACATTGTCCACATCGATTTCGGTTTCATGTTGTCCAACTCGCCAGGCTCTGTTGGTTTTGAGGCGGCACCTTTCAAGCTCACTCAGGAGTACATCGAGGTGTTGGGTGGCATTGGGTCGGATGATTACGAAGACTACAAGAAGCTTTGCAAGCAAGCTTTCCAAGGTAAGTTCTGCATTGAGCCTGAGGAAATAACATTGCTAACTCAATCTCAGCTCTGCGGCGGTCTGCGGATAACATCATCGACTTGGTGGCCATGATGGGGCGTGACTCAAAGATGCCATGCTACTCGGCGGGAGTTGTCCAGGCCACACACAATCTTCGCCAACGCTTCCAGCTGCAGTTGAGTGCGGACGAAGCGGAGCAGTTTGTGGAAACTGACCTGATTGGCAAGTCCCTGGGCAGCTACTACACAAGGCTGTAAGTTTGAACAATGTCTTGCCCGCGAGAAGCTCATCCTAACGTGCCTCTCTAGCTATGACACCTTCCAATATAGAACGCAAGGCATTTACTAGACGGTTGTGACGACGGAAACAAAGAAACTTCGATCAACAAGCTCTCGAAAGCATTGGGACATGAAACGTGCATCTAGGCATTTGGGCGGCGTTGCGGTTGAATAGACGACTTGAACTGAACTGAACTGAACTGGCTAGGCTGGTAATGACGCAGCCGAGGAACGACCTTCTCGGTCATTTTTTTATGAGTTGATGGGGGAGGGACAGTAGCTATCAAAAGAGGTGTAGCAGATAACTGGCCACCTGAGAGTTGAGCGCGATATATAGGATACCGAAATATGCTGAAATAACAATACATATCCAAAGAGGGGTTTGGAGCATCCGTCTCAGTGACAGGTTCTCGTCGTGCCCTAGAGTGGTTTTGTGCCGCGGGACCCAACCTGCGATGTGACGGGGACTGATGATTTCCAGTTGTAGGGGGCATTCTGCAGGATCCCGCCATAGGTGGTACCAAGAGCGATGTTGACGCCGCTAGGAAGGAGATTAAGTTAGTGACAGTACACTGAA